TTTTTTTTTTTTTTTTTTTTTTTTTGAACACATCGACATTTTTTTCTTTCTACCGATTTTAACTTTTCGCGAAACGATACATACGCGTTAAGATTATTCGATTTTTGATTGATAAAAAATCTAACGTACATTTGTAAATGATTTTTATTAACAAATTGATAACGATGTTGAAAATATTGTATTATTTAAATAGAAACTATTTTGTAGATCTATTTATCGTGATTATTATATTCTGTATACGTACGACTGTACGCAAACGTACAGGTCACATGCATACTACTTGTGATTTTATTTATTATTCTCTTTTATTATAAAACTTCTTCTCTTTTTATTTATGTTGAAACGGCTACGAAGCCTTTCTCAATGTCTCTCTCTCTCTCTCTCTCTCTCTTTCTCGTGCGTTATGCGTTATGTAAAGCATCATTAGTCGAGTTCGCATTCGCGAACATAGTCCATCCTGTCTCGAACGATCGTGATAATCGTCGTGATTCTCTCTCTCTCTCTCTTTCTCTCTTTTTTCTCTCTCTCTCTCTTTCTTTCTTTCTCTTTCTCTCTTACACACTCCTATGTATTACTTCCCTCGTTTCCGCATTTTCAGTCTATCTTTTTTTCCTGGAAAAACGTGGCCGAGTGGAAAGATACGCATGTAAGTATTATATATCTATATATATATGTATACATGTATATATGTATGTATGTATGTATTTATTTATGCTCTCGTACAGTTAACGCTTAGCGCCTCTCTGTTCGCGGCACTTTTATCGCTGCGGGCAGAGAACGCGATAACGTTTCCATACGTATACGAGACTCTTATAGTAGTCGTCCTGTATTTTTGTCGATCATCAAGCAAACTTTATCGGCACGACGCATCCTACGATCGTTGTCGGCTTTGTAAGAGTTTTTATATGTATATACGTATGTATGTATATGTTAAGAGCACGAACATTAAAGAATTCGAACAAATTTTGAATCATAATAAATATATATATATAACAACGTATCACTTCGATATTATATTTTTATTATAGATGATTATTTCTTCGAAATTTGTTTAATTGAAGATAATCGTAGTATATTTATGAATGTAATATTTAATTTAATATTTACGTTATTGTATATCTCGTTTAATTTTTCGACTTTGAGTAAATTCCGTGCTTATTATAAAAAAAAAAAAAATAGAAAATCATCTGTATCATTCCATATATATCGTATATAAATGATTGTCAATAAAAAATAACATATAAAGTACAATATAATATCGATCCCCGAGACTCTAATCTTTTCACGCAAGCACGATTTCAATATAAAATCAGCAAGCAGCCAATCTCTTGAAAAGAGATCGCATTTTTCCGAAGGCGTATCGCGTGAAAGCGGGTATTTACACACGTAGAGACAAGTATTACGTGTTTCTGTTCGTCCTACCACTTTTGGGTATATTATATGCGGTGATACACCTGACTAGCTTATCCGGTAAATTCAGTCCGACGGTGTGCTCGAGACTCTCAGCAGTTCTTACGGGGTGTCTGCTTTCAACGAGTTATGCCTCTTCTAGGTTCGTGGTCGCATCGTTGCACCTATACCTACCTAAGTGTATATACATACGTATATACATAGACACACACACACGAACGTATATATATATATAAAATATAAGTATGATCACGTCCCTTAATGCGCTTCGAACTTGCTCGAAAGTCACGCGAGAGTTTCCAACGACAATCCGATACTTCGATCGAAGGAAAGACAGAGATGGATAGATGGAATCGGATAGTATACGTTTACGTGTGGGATATATGTGTGAGTGTGCAGGTAGAAGCATAGTGGGGTACCCTTAGATTCTTCCTAGAGAGAATTCCACCCCCACTACTATTCCACTCAACTACTTTTCTTCTACTGCTCGTCTTTCTATCTATCTCTATCTTTCTTCCTTCCTTCCTTCCTTCCTTCCTTTCTTCTTTCTTTCTTTCTTTCTTTTTTTTTTCTCTCCTTGCCCTTCCTCCCTCTATTTTTCTTTCTTTATTTCTCTCTTCGCTCCCTGGTTTCTCGACGTAACACGAACCAGTTCTACCGAGTTCTCCTATTACACGCTCTCCGAACGCGTTGGAATTCAACTTCCCCTCTCGCACTTTCAAACTACCCCGTGGCGGTGCGAAACCAGGCGGGAAAAAGGATAGACGACGATGACGATGACGACGACGATGACGACGATGACGGTGGTAACTATCACGGATAAATGATCTACGACAATCGTGTCGCCTTTCCAACGACTTTTTCTATTATGCCCTGGGCAGATCGTAAGATAGATCGAAAGAACGAATAATAGATCCTGTCGATCCTGTTTTCTTTCCCCCTCTTTATCCCTGTCCCTTCCTGCCCTTTCTCTATTTTCACAATATTCCGAACTAGCCTCAAATTATATCGGTCGAAACGATTTCTCTTCAAAAACTCGAATTCACGATAGTTATTTTAATCCAGTTAGAAATGATCTCATTTCTTTCATGTTTCACGTAAAGACAAGATTTAAATGAAATTTTACGTAAGCTGATGTTATGTCGATATTGAAGATAAAATATATATATGTGAATGCCAATAATTATGACAGTGGACTAGGTTGAAAAATTTGAAAAATTTCTCTTATACGATTTACTTTATATTACCAATTTTTTGGGATTTAGTGTTCTCATTGAATGGGTCATTTTTATCAGCAATAAATTGAGAAACAATGCTGCAATATATAGTTGTCTACTTATAGAAAAAATATTTTTATAAAATAAATAAAAAACAATTTTTTTTAACTATAACATTATATTGCATATTGTCATAATTACCCCAGCTCACATATATAAAATAATAAAAATAGAGAAATATATATGTAAGGGTGTAGTTAGTGTTGGTAAAGTTATATACGACGACAACACTTACCTCCCTCGAGCAATCTTGGTAGCCGGCCTTGTACCTGGACAGACCAGGTTGTGCGAGAGATCTTTGCCTTTGGAGATGCCTCACCGTCAACTCCAAGATGTCAGCTTTCTCGAGTTTACTGTGCTTCGTATTCTCGAGCCGAGCGCTGTCAAGGATCAGCGCCTTTAGGGCTGCCAGGGATTGGTTGATCCTCGCTCGTCGTCGCTTTTCCATTAGTGGTTTGTTCGCCTGCAATCATGCGAGATACAATAACGTCTTTTTTTTTTATTGCTGTTATTGTTGTTGTTTGCGCATTTTTATTTTTTATTTCTATATTTTTTCTCATTTCTTTCTTATTTATTTTTATTTTCGCTGCGTTTTTCTTAATATTTTTTTGTTTTGTTTTGTTTTAATCGTATCGTATCCATTTGCTTGTTCAATTCTTTAATTATTCATCATTAAACTGTGAAAACTGGTTAACGAGAATCAGGACGTAGTAAATAAAAGTTGTATCGAGAGATTAAAACGACGACTAGTAGCAGTAGCAGTAGCAGTAGTGGTAGTAGTAATAGTAGTTATAGTAGTAGTAGTAAAGATCAGTTCCGTTTTAGCGATCCCGTTCGATGTCCAATAGGACACGAAAGGCATACCTTTCTTTCTTTCTTTCTTTCTTTCTTTCTTTATTTCGATCGGTCAAGAAGACGAAGAAGCAAGGAGCCTATTCATGGCCTAGCTTATACGATCAGCTGTGAGAGATGAGATGAAAAGTCGAAAGTCTTGGAGAGGAATCGAAGTGGAATGAAAGAAGAAGAAGAAGAATAAGAAGAAGGCGGAAGAAAAGAAGGCTGGGAGATACGACGCGGCAGTGCGTGTCAGAGCACTCTGTTCTCTCATAATACAGCATCTTTCAAACAGCTCCGTGACGACGAAGACGAACAACGAAGACAACTCGTTGTGTGCTTCTACTGCTTGCTTGCTTCCTTCTCTGCCGGTGCATCTCCTGCCTGCATTTCTTTTTCATTCCTTTTTCTTTTCTTTTCTTTTCTTTTTGTATCTTTTCTCGTTGCTGCTCTCGTGTCTCACAATTTTTCTTTCTTCCTCTCTCTCTCTCTCTCTCTCTCTCTCTCTCTATCATTCTATCTCTCGACGAGTTTTTCGTACAACATACGAGCCCGGGTCGCTGGCAGAGTGCCGACGTCGCCTACGGCGATGTCATTCCTCAACCGAAGGCAAGAGAGAAACAGAGAACGTATAGATTTGTATGTATATATACGTGTACGTGTGTGTATAAGCTTAGAGAGAGAGAGAGAGAGAGAGGGAAGTGTAGCGAGACGATATCGTGGGAGCAGCGGTGTTGTTGTAGAATACAAAAGAGAGAGATACCCAGATAGAGAGAGAGAAAGAGAAGGGGTATATAAAGGGTTTCCCGCTTAGCTGTTAGAGAGTAGGATGCAGCAGAGCACGAGGTGTAACGGAGGGGCCAGGAGGGTGAAACAAGGTGAAACGCCATGGTGGCACGTTTACACGAGAGCGAAACGGCGAGTAAACAAACGAGTGAGTTGAGCTGAGCTGAGCTGAGCCGAGCCGAGTCGTTGTCATCGTCATCGTCATCCTCAGTACCAGCGTCATCATCATCATCATCATTGTCGTCTACGTTGAGTTACCCTTACTGTTAGCAGCGTATACGTGACTTCGTTCCGCGTGTGTGCTCACGCGTAAACACGCGCTTCTACGGTTTACCATCACCACCACCACCATTACCATCATCACATATGCGTGCGTAGTATTCTCTACGTGTATACACAGGGATTGGTTCGCGCGTGCCCGAGTTATTTTCTCTCTATCTATCTATCTATCTATCTATCTATCTCTTTCTTTCTTTCCTTCTTGTTCTCTGTTTCTCTACGTTTCCCCCTTCTTTTACCGCACCCTCGTCGACACTCAGAGTGCACGCGCGCGTGTCACCGTCGTTGCCACGTTCGTTTCACCGCGTCCTATTATTATTACGAGAGCCCCACGCGCGCGAAGAGCCTCTCTAAAGTCCCCGAGCAACCTCCTCCTCTTCCTCCTCCTCCTCCTTCCTTCACCACCACCTCCTATTCGTATACGCTACCGCACACCGTTCGTTCGTTCGTTCGTGATCATCGCAGCAGATACCGAACGCGCTCATTCCACCTTTGCGATTATCACTTCGGACGATTTCAAAGAAACAAGCCTGGATATTATTATTATTATTGTATCTTTTTTTATCAATTCTTTTTGTTTCTTTTCTTTTTTTCTTTTTTTATCTTTCTTACATATCCTTAATAATTTTATGTCAATCTCTCTTTTACTCACCGTCCCCTTATTTTTTCTTTTTCTCTTTTTTCATTTGCTGTTTTTATTATTAATATATTTGAATGTCGCGTTGCGCGCGCGTCTTTAACTACTTCTATTACTAATTGTCTCGTTCCTTTTTTTCATACAAAAACCTCGATCTTAACGCTGACCTACGAGATCTTTTTTTTTATAATACTGTCAAGGACTGTCAAACGTGGTGGCAAATTAATCGAAATGATTTCGAATAGTTACTCATGAATATTAAATGTCATTTATTTACGATCGTCGTCGTATTAGATACATAACAACACCTCCCCACCCCTCCCACACCCTCCTCCCGACGATTGTAAAACGTGACAACGTGTTTAATACTTAATTCATCTTTTCTTCTTATTCAAATGCTTAAATCGCAAAATATTCGAATGGATACATCTTATTAAATGTATACCAAAAAAAATACTTTACCGATGATAGAAATGATATTATACAATATTCAAGTTATTCGATTATTACATTAAACATATCTTTTCATAAATTATTATTTATTTTTTATTTAATCAGTTGTTTCTCTCGTTCAAAAATAAAATCCTTAATAAGAAGGTATCATAGGGAATTTGGACATCAAAAAAAGAAATTGACTTATCAAACTTAACTTATCAAAATTAAGTTCTACTTCTTTTTTTGATGTCCAAATTTCCTATGATACCTTCATATTAAGAATTTATTTTTATATATATATATACACACACACGCCATTTAAAAACGGTTTTCCCCAACATACAATAATCTAAATTTTTGAAGGAGATCCGTTCGTTATCGGATATAAACCAACCAACCAATCTCATCTCTCCGACGACAGATAATTAGAGCTTCGCTTGGTTGGATGGACCTCTTCCTGTTAAGTAGCGTCAATTAAGTTTTCAGTCGTTGGTATCGCGTTTCCTCGACGTCAAGGCGACGAGATGGATAACCACCGGAGACCAGCAATCGTCCTCGTCTCGTTCTCCTTCTCGTTGCCGTCGTTGTCGTTGTCGTTGTCGTTCTCGACCTCGTACTTATAGTTACTCCTATAAGCTTCATCATTTTACCTTCTAGTTTCTACCTTGGATCTTCACCAACTGCCATCGCTTTCATTAGCTTAGAATCTTCTCTTTCTCTATCTCTGTCTCTATCTCTATCTTAATAATTCTCTATCTTTATCTATATCTGTATTTCGCCATGCCCCAAGAGTTTACTCATCCGTTACTTCGTTGTATCCACGGGTGATAAACCAACGGATAGAACGAGGACAACCGGAGGAAGTTCGTCGCGGCATCGAGCTCTCGATTCGTTCAAACGGAACGGGTTGGCTATATGTTCATGCGAAATGAAGCACGATGAGAGAAAACTTATCATCCGATTGTTAAGATTTACGCCAATTATTATATTACTTTTTCTTTTTTTTTTTAATGTATAAATACGTTAAGTAATTTGTATATCTAATGTATTATCAATAATAAAAAAATGACCAATAACATATTTGGAAATACATGTATCTTTTTGTCATACAAGATGTGATTTGTCGCCAGGATTTCTTAAATATGTGATACTATTGAAATGATATCTAAAAAAGTTACTTTACCTGCAAAATTTGTTTGATAGATATTTGAAATATGTAATTCACTTTGTAACTGGAAAAAATTCATATCTTTAAATAATATAATATTGATTTTTTGATTTGTGATCTATAAATTCATTATTTAGAAAATTATTAGAAATCGTATACACCGTTCGTGATCGAAGAAGTAGCGATCCTTAAATGGTAGCGTTTCTAAGTTCCAATACTAGTTGTGAGTGTACCGAGACTGTCAGTTTATATGGGTGAACGTGTGCGTGTCCTGCGGTGAGAACCAATACTTTTCTCTCTTTCTCTCTCTCTCTCTCTTATACTAGGTTATTCCGTCTCTCTTTTTCTTGTTACTTCAGTCGTTGCAGCCGCATGGTCACGTATCACGTCTTCATGCGTGACGCGTACGCGAATTTGTGATTTGCATCGGTAAACCGCTCACGGCGAGTCACCTCGTTCCCCGTTTCCGATCCATTCGACTTTTCGTTTCGTCGAAAGCAGGATTCGCGAAACCAACTCTAGACATATTCACGAAGAACTTTCCTCCACCTCTTTTTCCTCCTCCTCATCCTCATCCTCCTCCTCTTCTTCCTCCTACTCCTCCTCTTCTTCGTACTTTCTTTTCGATCGAAAGTAAACTACCCAAAGATCATTTCGAGAATATTCTTGGAAATATCAAAGTCGAATATACACGTATATATGTTTACTTATACTATGAACCAAAAATGATGAACTCGTCATTTAGATTAGTTAGATATATATATATATTATAAAGAATATTTTTCAACGTTTTCAATTATAGGTACGAGTGTTAATTGCTCGTAAATACTTATTCGATTAACGCATATCGATTATACAAGGCTTTTCCGCACTTATCGTTTCTATCTCGTTTCTTACGAGACTAACGAAACTTACTTTTTTTTCTTATATTAGAAAAATCAAATAAGCTATTCATTACGTGTAGATAAAATTAAGAGTTATAATATATGATTAAATATCGAAATTTCTACTTTCCTGTTCAAATTCATTCTTATATGTCTGAATTTTTTGTCTTGACCTACTTTCCTAATGAAAAAAAATATACTATCAAATTTGTTGTAATAATAATCGAAAAAAAATGTAACGAAGATATCTTGATCCCTTTTTCCATATATTACTATTACAATTAGTATTAAATATGTAATAGGATCACAAGAATTGATTTTTCTTTCTTTTGTCATCATTTTCAATATTTGTTTCAGTGATTCTCGAAAGAAGATATTTATAATTATTATGATCGTTATCATTATGAAAGAAACTCAAGAGAAACATACTGCTGCTGCTGCTGCTGCTGTTGCTGGCACTCTCCCTTCGTTCTCGATATTGGTGCGGTCACTTGACAAAGAGCGAAGAACGCGGGACACGTTAGAACGGATGAAGGGAAGGAGGGTTGAAAGAGGCACGTGCTTAGCGCCGGATCGTATCACGCCTGAACTTCGTGGATGGGGATTAGAGGTACACGCAAAAGGGTCGAACGATGGAGGGTGCCAACGATATTTTCTACCGTGACAGAACAAACGGTCTCTCTCTCTCTCTCTCTCTCTCTCTCTCTCTTTCTTTCTTTCTTTCTTTCTCTTCCTTTTACATATATATATATATATACCCGTACGTATATATGCGTGGTGCATATATATATATATATATATATATATTTTTTTTTTCTCTCTCTTATGGGTAACAATAAGTTAACAAAAATACGTTCATTTTAACGTTAAACATTTGTTTAACAATTTTAGAAATTTTTATACGTATGATTATAATTTTCTACACAACAATATTCGAAAATTTTGTTCAATGATCACAATCGGGGAAAATGTGATAAATAATAAAAAGTGGTATTAAATAATAATAATAATAATAATAATGAATGATACTTACTCGACGTCCGTCCGAGTGTTTCGGGCTCGGGCTAAGGCTAGGGCTGGGACTGGGTGCCGGACTAGGACCCTGATGTACTGCTTGTTGGTGTTGAGATTGTTGATGATGTTGCCTGTGGCTATTACCGACTGATTTCTTCTCCTGGTGCCTCAGCGAGTGGAGACGTGCGGTCATTTTAACAGGCCGGCACGGCCCTCAAAAAAGACGTTCGCAGCACCCTACGTTCTTGTCTCAAAGTGGCCGAGGCACTCGGCATTTCGCGTATCACAATGTCCGAATGCGAACGAGATATCGTACGTTTGATAACTACTTTTTTTGTCCGTCAATCTCTAAGACAATGAGTTCGAGATCTGTTTCAAAATAATTTGTAAAATTTGTTAGAGTAACAATTTATTTATTTTTCTTCTTATTCTGTCTTTACACGAGAAGAAATAGTTTCTTTTTTAATAATTAACTTTTGTCCACAATTGTTATTATTATTATTATTATTATTTTATTTTATTTTGTTATTTTTCAACGATCACAAAAATTCCACGCTGAAAATCTTTTAATGTCATCACAAGGATAATGATGGATTTAACAAAGTCTTCGCATGGGGTAATAAATTTTCTCTGGATTGTGTGTGTGTGTGTGTGTTCGACACTCGATTGATGTGTGTGGTAGACGCACACAACACACCGGCGCAAATACAAACGGCCACGTGGTTGAGCGCGCGTCGCCGACCACTTGTCACTCGCGAGATCAAGAGAGACAGACGAGACTACTACGACGCGTCTCTTTCTACCTTTCTCTCTCTCTCTCTCACTCTCACTCTACCTAACTATTCTTTAGATCGTACTTTTCACCTCTCTTCTCAACTTTTCCCTTATACCACGAGAAATAGTGAGAGATGAATTAATATATATATATAGAATATAAGAGAAACACACGAGTGACGAGAATCTAGCGATCCTCGTCCCCGAAAGGAAACAATCCAGTCTTTTAAATTCGTCAAATTTTCTTAATCCTAATTTTATTCACACACTTTCAAATGTCATTCATTATTTTTATCCACACTTAAACTACAAACAAATATAATCCAATCGTCGTAGCAGTATATACGTATACTTTTTTCACGTTCTTCTTAATCCCAAAAGTGTGACACACACTCGTTGTACGATCTCTCACAGTCTTATTTAAAAAAAAAAAAAAACTATCGTCAATAATCAAAGGATCACTCTTCCACTTTAGTACTAATAATAATAATAATTATTATTATTATATATATACTTATTAGTCTTTATTTTGATATACAACAATTAACAAAGAAACGACACGAGGAACACGACAAAAATATTCAATCGTGTATTCGTAGATCGCGCTTCGCGAATGAAAAAAGTATAAAGAAGAATAAATTGGTAGGTAGAAGAAAGAGAAAAAGTTAAAACTGAAGGAGAAGAAGGGTAGGTTTGTAATAAGAGAAGAAACTGGCGCAAGTGTTAGACAGAGAGCAAATACGTCGAGCGTGCTCGCGCAACGAAGAACGCTGACGGACTGTGAGCCAACGAGCGATCGCTGGCGGCTTTTCGCCGTAGTTGGCGCGTGTGGGTCGGGGAAGTGAGGGGAGCTCGCGCCGTGGTTGGTCGTGCGTGGGGTTGTGGGCTTGAGGGGGTGGGGGAGAGACGTTCTGGCGGCGGCGGCGGCGGCGGTGGCGGCACTACCGTCGAGAGAGAACACAACTTGATGGGCTGCAGAAGGGTGCGAGCGGTGAAGGGAGTCAGACAAGGCTCGCTTGCCCGCTCACGCGCGCCCTTGCCTGCGGCTACGCGCGCTCTTTTCTTCTTTCTTCTCTCTCGACCGTGTTCCTCCCTCCTTCTGCCACCTTCTCTTCTCTATCGCACGTACTACATACACACACACACACACACACAGAACAACACGCAACACGCATATATAGAAAATAGTATATACATGGCATACACGTTCGTGTTTGTTCATTACATCTTTCTCACTCTTACTTCTTGTAATTCGTGTGGACATTTCCTTCTTTCTTTCTTTCACTCTCTCTATGTCTGTCTCTTTCTCTCTTTCCCTGTCTCTTTTAAGCTGGTTCGTGTTCACTTTTCGCATCGGTTCTTTTTTCTCTCACGAACGAACGTGCGTGTCCTTTCGTACCTCTCTCATGGCCGTTTTATTGCTCAGCAGCCACCGTAGTCTCTCTCTCTCTCTCTCTCTCTCTCGGTGGCGTCGAAGCAGGAACCGATTTGGATATCGGCGTTTCTCTCTTTTACTTTATCTTTCCCTTGGGAGAAAGAGAGAGAGACAGAGAGAAGTGTTTTTTAGCCGTCTGGCTGGCGAAGAGTATCGTAGCTCTCTTCTCGCTCGAGAGCCCACAAAATCGAACATTTTCGCGAATGATACGTTCGCTCCTCCGCGCGTAACGCGATATCTGCGTGGGTGCGGTAAATTTAACGCTTGAGACACAATTCGAGAGAGAAAGAAAGATAGTTTCTAGTCAGCTCATTTCTGACCGACGCTGAACTTTTCCCTAGACTTTCTGGTCATTATCGGTGACGACGAGGACATCGGCCGGCCGACCGGCCGGCCGTCGTTTCGATTAAACTTTCCTCTCGTCGTTTGCATTTTAATTATATTGCATCGGAAAGAAATTTCTTAAATAATCGTCTTTTCCTCGCGAAAAAAATGATAACGATGTTATGAAGAAAATCATGTTTTGTCTTATTCATTGGTATTAACCTCGTTCGATACTGATTATTTTAAATAATATATATATACGAAAGTCTGAGATCATGTCGAATGAAACGAGTAGAAAGATTACTTGTTATTATATTTTCTGTGGATCATTAAAATCGTTAAGAACTTTGTCTGTGTTTAAACGATATTAATCGATCTTCCAATAAAACATTGTTAAAAGAACTTATGAGGTACGATCGAAAGATTTTATCAAGACTCTGTCTCGTGTACAAATGTATTTTCTTGTTTCGATCAATTCATAATTAACCGAACGAAGAAATTTTCTTTTGATCTTTCTATATTTTGATTTTTAGAAAAAAAAAAAATATATATATAAATGATTATAGCAACGATCTCTGCTGTGTGTGTCGATGTAACCGATGCTTGAAATTTTATTTCACGCGTTAGAAAAGAACTGCATACTAGCAATTTTCAATTACGCATGTATGTATGTATGAATGCATGTATGTATCTAGTTATGCATCTATGCGTGCATTTACGTCTATATATCAATAGACAGCTCGTATATGTTACTAGCTAGTCAACCCGAAATCATAGAACGTGTCGGCATAATACACAAACGTATAGGCGGCGCCCACTTACACACACGTATACAGAAACGATTTCAATCATTTTTGCGTTGTTCCACCGAATTCCAAGCGAGGAAAGTTCGCGTTTGATCAAAGGGAACCGCCGCCGCCGTCGCCACCACCACTACGACGACAACGACGACGTAGCCTAAAGCCGAGTAGAATCGCTTGTTCAACTCGTATCGTATCATACGGTAGTAATAATAACGTTGATGATGGTAGGTGGTAGTTGTAGTGGTAGTGATAATAAACGTATTGGCGCCTCGCTAACGATAAGACTTTGTCTCGTTATCATTGACACATACATACACATACATACATACATACATACATATATAGAACATAGATGCGTATGCTTGGACAGAAAATATCCGCGTATTTCTACAGATGCATGTATATATGTATATATATGTGTGGTGTATCTATGTACGTACATAAATTACATGCATGTATTGGAAGCGTCGAGAAGGAAGTTTCTACGCGCGACGGACGGCGCGCGATAAGCATCGTTTAGGTTCCGACGACGGCCTTTAATCTCTTCCCGTCTCGTCTCACGAGCGAAAAGACGACGACGATCACGACCGACAACGACGACGATGAAGAAGAAGAAGAAGAAGGAGAAGAAGAAGAAGAAGGAAAAGAAGAAGAGAAGTACGACGTCATGCGGACATTCATAGAGAAAGAAAGAAAGAGAGAGAGAGAGAGAGGTATGCGTGTGGAGTATATTTGTATATGTGTGTGGAGTATATCTGTATGTGTATGGGGATTGTGTGAGACGCACGATCAACGAGGGTAGAGAGCGACCGACGACGGCTTGGGAAAAATAAAAGAAGTAAGAGAAGAAGAAGAAGAAGAAGAAGAAGAAGGGGTCGTGGCTCGAGGCAGAGAGGAGGTGGGACAAAGAGAAAAAGAAGAAGAAGAGAAGAAGAGAGAAAGAGAAACTCGAGAGTAAGAGAGGCCGAGAGGCGATGAGCCCTCGGGGCGGTGGCCGTTTCGTGGGCGGCCGAGAGGAAAGGAGAGGAAGTCGTGAGGAACTTGGCGTGGCGCGGCTCGATGCTTGAGCTGCTTGAAGAAGAGGAGGAGGAGGAGGAGGAGGTGTGGAGATGGAGGAGAGTCAGGCCGAACGAGCGTGCGACGCCGGCGGGCTTCGCGAGACGTGGTAGAGAAGCAGGAGGATGAAGAGGGGGAGGTGGAGGATGAAAGAGAGAGAGAGAATGAGAGAGAGAAAGATAGAAGAGGGAAGGTCTCGTCGGCACGCGCGCCGCGAAGTGCGCTCTACCCACGCAAACGTGCCACGCGCACACAAACGCTCGTATGAAGCATTTCGTGTGTGTGACCATGCGTGAGAACGCGCCGCTTCGTGATGCTCGTCCTCTGTCTCTTCCTCTCCCTTCGTCTCATTTTAGGTTTCCACTACGGATATGTCTGCCTGCTTGCCTGCCTGCCTGCCTGCCTGCCTGCTGTATGTTTTCGTATGCGTGTGCACGAAAGCATGTGAGACCATGAGAAAGAGAGAGAGAGAAAGAGAGAGAGAGAGTACTGGGTAGATCGACGCCGGCGGATGGACGGACAAACGGGCGGATGGTCGGTCGGTCAATCGTTTCGAAATTTTGCACGCGCCCGGTTGGTCGGCCTCCGCGAAGAAACTTTGTACAATCGGAGACCCTTCGAATCCACTTTTTCCCTTTTCGTATCCTTTCAAAGAAATCTTTAGCGACGGCTCGATACCTGATCGATAGATCATCAGCTCTTCTGCGAATTCTCTAATGCCCGCCGAACCTTTCGGATATTTTTTTTATTTTTAAACAGATCGATCTATCAATCCCATATATATATATATCTCTTCTTTTTTTCTATCTTTTTCTGTGATCGATTTACAAAATCGATTTTCTTTTCTTTTCTTTTGTACATTATCGATCCTCGTTACGATATCGAAAATATTTCATGCGATTTTTCTTAGATGTGTGTCGAGAGATATAATATAACTTCTTGTTATATTTGTTCTCATCTTTGATGAACGTCGAGACGATCGATGAAAAATGATCGATAAAACCGATCTCGTTGTGCTAATCATTCTTCTTATTTTCCTTCCTTTTCTTTCGTT